AAACAAAAGAACGGGGAGAGCTGGAGGAAGGAGGGAGAGAACACAGGGAGAGAACAGAGGGAGAGAGAGAGAGAGACAGAGACAGAGAAAGAGAGAGGGAGAGAGAGAGAGCGAGGGAAAAGGGGGAGAGAGGCAGAAGGTTTTGATGCTCAGGATCCAGGGGTTCTATCCAGTGTGCGGAGATGTGGGCTTTTTGAGCGGCCCCCACAAAGGGAGGCGAACCTGGCCCTAGGGAGGGGTCCCTGGGGGAAGGCCCCTCCTCTTGGTCCTGTGGGGAAGGTCCCAGGGAAAAAACGGACCCCCTGGATTCTTTGGTCATTTTTTTCAGGCCCAGGGAGAAAAAAGGCATTAGTGAATCCAGGGGACTCCGTTTTTTTCCTGGGACCTTTCCCCCAGCCCTCCCCCCTCCCTCCCACCGGTCCCCTCCCCCTCCCCGTTTCGTTGCACGAATCGGGAGGGAGAGTGAGATGGAGTTCCCTGTAACGGTGTACGCCTGTCCCTCCAAACCTTTCGCAGCGCCGTGAAGCATGAACAAAAAGCGGGGGTCCGTAGTCAAACCAGACATGGAAGACATAAAAACGTAAAGGCTCGCTGTGCCCCCCCAACCCGCGTGAAAGCCCCCAAAGCACTTTTGGCTGACCGCACGCTCCACAATGGCCTGCCCTCAAAAAACACGGGGCTGGCGGTATCCCGCCGTCGGCGGCGCACTTCCGCACGCGCTGGACGCGGTGTTGGCTTCCGGCGGGAGCTCGCGCGCCAGAGCGCATTCAAGACTTGGGGGGGGGGGGCGGCGGCGGCTTCCTTGTATATTCCACTCGGGCAAAGAGCGTCCTCCGCCATCAATGAGCACTCTCATCGCTATCAGTTTGGCAGTCCTTGTCCTTCGTCCTCTTTCTTCTCCTTCTGCCTCCCCTCCTCCTCCTCCTGCTCTTCCTCACTCCTTCCATTGTGTGGCGTATCTGGTGAAGATGAAGTGGCACCCACGGCCGAGCGTATCCTCCCCAGCTTCCCCCACCCGCCCCCTCATCACCCTCCTCATCTCCTTGCTACTGTCTGCTCTTCTCTGCTCCTGGCATTGCGGTTGGCATGACAGGCGTGTGCTCTGTCGTCCAATCTCAGATGCGTGTGAATCGCAGCTGTTTTTTTCAACGTCTCGGCCTCCGCCGTCGCAGTTCTCACTTTCAATGCCTTCCAGCTCCAGCAGCTCGTTGCCTCGGGAGGTGGTTGCTCCCAGTCCGTACTTGCAGGTGTGTCTGTGCCATTGGAAATGAGGTGTCGCGCAGAAGTTCTCATACGCAGTGCTCAAATCTGCACGTGCACATGCGCACGTGTAGAAGACCATGCATGAGCGCACGCGTGCGGCTGCTCGTGCCTGGCCGCAAGTGTATGTTGACATTTGCGTACATGCATAAACACCTGCAGCTGTGCAGATAAATTCATCCATGAATGCATACGCACATTTGCAAGTGCAGCGGCACGCGTGCAAGCATCCGCAGGCAGGAGTGGGCGGGGCGGTCGTATGCGACCACTGCCGATAGAGCCTTCGGTGGAGCTCCCTTTGGGGCCACTTTACACGTGAAAGGGGCTTGCCGACATGGGAGTAGAAAGCTGGATGTGGGCTCCTCCTCCTCCTCATCCTCCTCCTCCTCCTCCTCCGGGACTCCTCCTTCCTCCTCTTCCTCCTCCTCCTCCTGTGGGAAAGAGGCGGGGCGCGGCGCTGCAACTGTAGCCACTTTCGTGGGCTCCTGGGAGGCACGGCGGAGTCGGGGGCCACGCGTACCCATGTGAGACCTCGCTGCTCCGCGGGCTGCTGCGAACTGTGCAAGTGACATCACTTTCGTGGGCTCTTGGGAGGCACGGCGGAGTCGGGGGCCACGCGCACCCATTTGAGACCTCGCTGCCCCTTGGAGGTCTGTGAGCTGTGCAAGTATCGTCACTTTCGTGGGCAACTGGCATGTCCAGCGGAGTCGGGGGCCACGCGTACCCATGCGAGACCTCGCTGCTCCGTGGGCTGCTGCGAACTGCGCAAGTGAGACCAATGTCGCAGGCTCGTGGGAGGCATGGCGGAGTCGGGGGCCACGCGCACCCATTTGAGACCTCGCTGCTCCTTGGAATGCGACGAACTCCTCAATTGTTGCCTCTTTCGTTGGCTCCTGGGAGGTCCAGCGGAGTCGGGGACCACTCTGGTCCAGCTGAGACGTCGCAGCTCCCCGGGAGGCTACGAAATGCACAATTGTCGCCATTGTCGCAGGCTCGTGGGAGGCACGGCGGAGGTGAGGGCAGCGCAGATCGTGCGTATCTGGCGATGTGCTCTTTCGTGTGAAGCGTTCAGACAAAGATTTGCCTAGCGTGGAGAAGGGTTTGGGTACGTCTCGGGCAATTGTTGCAAGGCTTCCACAAATCGAATGGCCAAAAATGTAGACTAGTGCACAGTTGCACGGAGGGCAGTTCCTTCTCAAATTAGGGCTCCCATGGAACACCGTTGACTTGTTGATCCTAC